GGGGGGGGGGGGGGGGGGGGGTGCGGAGTGGTTCGAAGGGAGAGAAGAGGGCATAACACAATTACATGTGGGGTTGATGCGGGACCGCGCTTGCTCTCGGCGCCACGACCTTCCGGCCAGGGGGAAGAGAACGGAGGGAAAGAGCCCAACGGTGGGTGGCAAGATTGAATATGAAAGTTTAATGCGAGCAATATCAGCGCCGCTGCCCCGGCCCTCCTTCGGCTACTCGCTCGTCTCAGACGTCTCGACTATCGGGCTGCCCATCTTGCCCGTATCTCTCTTTATATCGCGGCTCAGCGCTGCCTTCTTCACCGGATCCTACGTTACACTTCCGAGCTTTGATGTCGCGAACCCTGAACCGTTTTGTTGTCGCGATAGCGCCAGGGAAAATGACCATTTTGGCCGATGGCCGCAGCGAAAGATTGAAGTTTCGTGGAAGATCGTTACGATATGAACAGAATTAAATGTAATTAACGAATGGGATTGTAGTTGATTGCAATAAAAACATGTGGAAAATATGAAGTTTGTAATTAAATAATGAAAAATGATTACAGTTGACTCAGGTATGTAAATACGTTACGCGTTGGATGAATTCGAGTTATAGAAAATCCAAATTGCACGAGAATTTTCCTCGTATAACACGTAATATGTTTGAAATAATTATTGTCATGTTAATTTTTGTTTTCGTCGTATTATATAATTTTGCATATTATGAGAGCTCACATTGTACGAGAGTCTAACACTTTACGAGCGTAAAGGCTATCTGAATACACATATACGCAATTACACAATTTTGTTTATAGAATTCGAAAGACTGTAGGTTCGTTGAACGACCATTCGGGAGCAGGAAGAAGGGAACAATTAGGTGAACAAGGAAACGGAATGAAACGTTGATTACCGTTTATACCAGGAAAGATAATTATCAATTAAAAACTAACTTTCGCGAGATATTTTGCTTGCGGATGGAATTCACGGTCTCACTAAGGCGGTTAGTGACTATGCCTTCGGCTATTTGTAAAACTTTCCTCATTAATTACCGACAAGATTCAATCCCCTCGTCTCTTCCATACTAAACTCCGCGACCCCTTTTCTGCGCGCCAACCATCTTCTCTCGGTGTTCTGCTACCCTTTTGTCCCACGCAGTGGGAGGAAGTTTAATAGTGAATTAGATCGCGCGTTCTTCCACCGGGCAATTATTTACCAATTAACAAAACGAATACATGCGCGTCATTTCTTCGTCCAGTCATGCTGTCGTTCTGCAATGACCAAGCATTTACAACTGTCGGACAGCTAGAACCAGTCATGCTTAAAGGAAAGCAGATATTTAAATTACAAATC